TAATATTCAGACGCAATGTGATTCATATGAACTAAAGATGAATCAACAAAATACTAACAAATACGCAATTATATATCGAAAAAAATGGTAAAATCTTTTCAACTAAGAACACCGTTAGCCAAAAGTACAAAGAAAGAGTGGAAGCGAATATGTCAACTTCACTAATTTACCTAAAATTTTTTATCACTCTAATTATACGAGTAACTACAGTACTTTTGTTGACACATGGTGCAATTTTTGTAGTAAACAGATTTTTTTTGCACATAAGATCGCCTTTCCTTACATATTTATTTAATCACATAAAATGAAAAGAACCTATGCTTAATACTTAATTCCTTGAATTTGATATAAGTCCTTCGCTGACTCTTTCGAAACCTGTTACAAGATCTCGTGACCAGTTCAATGACCTTTGAATAAAGGAACAAAACTTGTTGAGTACGTTAAATTTTAGAAAAAAAAGGAATCCATAGTCATATTTCACGATCAGTATGAGTAAATTATGATGTAAAAACGGTTCACAGATGTTTCCCACATTTTATCTCTCACATATTTCACATAGTCACATTTGATCAGAATGAACGAACCTAACAGAACTTTTTTGCTACCTGCTGCAGTAAAGGTGTTGAGTTTTATTTAGTATTGAATTTGCGATTTTATAAGTTATTTGAACAGCTAATTCTTTGCTTATAAACGTAAGTTCTAGTCAATGAGTAAACACTGCTGTGTCTATGTTCAAACAGCGAAAAATGTGGAAATTATTGAGTCAGCATAGCGTTTTCCACACAGCTTTTCACCCGCCCATAGTGTCGGCGACCGTCAGTAACCTCGGAGGCCGATTGCCATTAGACCAAGTCAGCAGAGCGCTCTCCAACCGACCGACAGCTGTGCTGGTCATAGGACCGTTCGTTTATGCTCAACTAACATCATTCAGACATTGATTGTCAGCCACGCTTCCAAAGCTTTCCTGCTTTTCTAAATTCTATCAATTCTAACATATTTTACTAAATAGGTTAATTGTAAAAGAGATGAGAATTGTTGGGTTTGATTAATTTTGAAGATCGAGCTTTTTGAACCACTTCTCATTCAATGACTACACAACTTTATTTCCAAAATAGAGATGATGACCGGCTCTCAAAGTAATATTTCATTTTCTTAGAATGATAACAGAAACTTGGAACAGATTGACTGTACTCTCACATCTTATGCAATAAGCAAGAGCATTTCCTCGCCCATCGACATTTTTCTTTCAGTGATTTCAAGAATTAAGATTCTAGAGGGAATTTCTCCTTTTACTTCCTAGACCAATTGATGAACTTTTGACCTTTCATCAGAGACATTTTTAACCTTGTTCTTTTCCTATCAGCAGTTTAGAATGAATCATGTTTCTAATGCATCGAAAAGTGCCTTCAACTTATTACCTCTTTGTGATTCATGTTTTCATAGTGCGCAATATCTGGACAAAACCCTTCTCTAAAAATTGCTCAAAATTTCTAAATTTCCAGGATGAAATACCTTGTCCTCCTCGCTATCGTAGCGACATGTTTCGCATTCGATAAGGAATTGATGTTAAAGCAGAATAAGATTGGTAAGGAAC